TAGCCCATATTTTCAAAATCAGATCGCCAGAAAAGACTTAGCGGAAGTACTCTGCACAAAAAAGACAAGACAAGACTTTCAAAGATCCACAGCCACTCAATAATAATAAATTTGCAACAATAAAGTATTTGAGTCCTATGAGAGAATTTTTTCTACCACCACTCAAGGAAACTCAGCTGTACAGGAGAGTTTAGTGTCAGGAATACTAATCTTGAAATGAAGAAACTGAATTCATGCTAATTCAGCTCTTTGGGCAACTTAATTTCCTGTTTTCTTTCCCCTATGTCAAAATGTCATTTCCTTTATGTTTATGTTTGTTTCCTTTATGTGATAATGTTTGTGAAAGCAAAGTTTTTTTAGTGCTTCTGAGCTAAAAGAAAATAAATTAACTTTTTTTTCTCATTGAATTTATTGGTACATTTTAAGTATACAGTACAGTTACATTCATCATGTGATCTTGTACCTTTACATGACAGGTCTTGTTTCTCATTTTTCCCCTTAACCCTGCCTTCCCTTCATGCCCTCCTCCTTTCCCTATTTACAAACTATGGTATGCACATGAGTTCTTGCAAACCACAAGTTGGTTCCTTTCTGGGAGACCTGATTTCTTTGAGAGAGCCCTGTTTGCTGAGTCCTAATTAGTTCATCTAAGAAATCATTGCATCATTCATTTACCAGTGTCCAACCACCTATTTTAGTTTTTGAAGGGGATTGACAATGCTTTATAAATTATACAGAATACTTGCTCCACCTTATTACTGTCTTGAAACATGTAACATGCCTGAAATTTTTTGAGAAAATGTTTGGGAAATGTGGGTTTCCATATCTGGTAAGAGGAAAAGGTCCTTTACAAATATACCCCCTCTTTCTACCTCCAACAGGCAGTGGTTTGCCTCAAAGAAGTTGAGATTCTGGGGTTGTGCCTTTGTTTCTCTAGTGTTTTCTTCTCTAATTAGTTGTAAGAATAGATTCCTAGGTTAGGGGAGGCTTTTTATTTTACTAAACCAATTGTGTAGCAGTTTATTAGGAAAATTACTACTGGAACAAAGTGGCAGCTATAAGATTATTTTTGTTATGCCTCAAGAATGTGAGGAAGTTGTGAAATTCTAATGGGGAGATATTAACCTGGAATCCTAGTACTCTTTAAGTAGTCATTTTCACTGTTTTAGGATGAAAGGTCTTTTGTTTCTCAGATATTTTGTTTTGTATCACAGAGACATACCAGTTCAAGGTGGTGCTTACACTTTTTATGAGCTGGTTATGAGCAGGTCTAATAAAGTCTAATAAAGCCTAATAAAGCTGTAGTTGGTTCTACATAGGTGTTTGAATAAAAATATTTGAAATAGAATAAGTGGAAAAGTCCTCTTGTTTTAGACTATAAGTTCAGACTTACAGGCATTTTTACTAGGTAGTCATTTTGCACTGAATTACAAACTTTTTACAGTAAGTTTTATACTAGAATGTTTTATCTTAAATTGGAAAATAATACTAGTCTTAGACTTTAAATTTTTGTAACAAATAATTTACTACAATTATTTAAAAAGATAAGCCATAGGGGAAAGGTAAGAAGGGAAAAGAACAAAGGAAAAAGTGGAAGAACGTCTTTGTAAATAGGGAAGGGTGGAGGGGGTAAAGGGGGGTCAGGGGAATGGGTAAAAATAAGAACCAAGATATGTCTCGTAAAGGTACAAGATCCCAATGATGAATGTATCTGTATATACCTAAAATGTAACAATAAAAGCCCCCAAAAGGCACATAGGTTACAAAGACTTGTCTAGTAAAAATTATAACAAGCAAATACTTTTAAATGTTTAATTTCTCACTTTTTTGCCGTTTTTTTTTTTTTTTTTTGTACTGGAGATTGAACTTGGGACCTTGTGCTTGTGAGGCAGGTGGAGGCACCACTGAGCTAAATCCCAGACCCTAATTTCTTACTTTTTTGGTTTTTACCTATAGTACTAACTACATATCATTCCTAGATTTGCCACGGGTTTTAGTAGTAGTTTGCACAATTTTATGTTTCCTAGCTAGCATATATAGTCATCATCAATTTGTAATGATAATATCCCTTCTTAATACTGGGGAAAGAAAAATGAAAATTCATTTATTGATTGTACTGAGTGAATTTGTTGGTGAGTAACTATTATGTCTACGTCACTGTTAGCAAACTAACATGACTGGAAACCTCTGTGAAAATTTAATTTGTGATACCTAATGAATATATTGTAAATTTAGGCCCATTTTCTGTGCTTCACTTTGATAAGAATTCATAAAATTTCTTTCAGCTTTAGCTTATCAAGAGAAGTGTTATTTTGTGGACCAGAACCCAACAGACTAGTGTAATCCTCTCCGAAGTTTCTAAAGCTCCACTAAAAGTAATAATTTAAATTATCTATTTTACTTTTACTTTTTTTGACCAACAGAGTTGGTAACTGCTGGAGTTTTGTATTTACCTATGAAAAACAAATTTGGTTAATTGCAGAAACCAAATCTCTTGTGATCTTATATGTTTTACTATCCAAGCTTTAGATGCAAAGAGAAATGGTAATGACATGTTGGTTTTACTATACCTTTGGACACTAAGATAATATGCATGTTTGAAACCTTTTCTTTTTTTTAACTTAGCTACTACCTGCTTTTAACTCTTTGCTTACTAGAAAAGCAAAGAGAACTAGAGAGTTCAAGGAGTTGAAGAAACAGGAGCATCAGGCCATTTGTACTTTGTACTGGTAAATTATGTAATAAATTATTGTACTCAAAAATTATTTCCTCTGAAGATACTGCCATATCAGCAGTCAGGAATAAATATATATGGCTCACCAATACTAAACAAGTAGTTTCCTGAAACATTAAGTCAATTAATTTGGCTATCAGAAGAATTAACATGCCTGATACCCTTGTGGCCCTGCTCACATCAGATCATCATCATTTTATGTCTGCTACCTTTATTAGTATAAATGGCAGCTCAAAGCAGCTATAATTTGCATTGAATTTTATATAGGCTGAAGCTCCAGCCAACCCCTTATTCACATTTAACTGTCTATTCAGTGCATCTACTTGAATGCTTCACCAGCATCCCAGCCTAACAAGGGCACCAGAGATCTTAATTTTCATCTCTGAAACCTGTCCCCCAGCCCACACTAGCTCCTTTCCACCCAGTGAATCTCATCTCCATAAATAGGACGACCATCCATCCCGGTGCTCAGGCCAAAAACCTAGAGTTATTCTTCTTCTTTCCTCTCTGAATCTAATCTTTTGGTAAGCTAGTATAGGTCAGATTAATAGTTTTATTTTATCTGTTTTAATTTTTATTTTTAATGAGTACATGTTTGCAGTACATAATGATTACATTCATCATGGGGAGCGGATACATGTATATAACACATATTCATTCTTTTTTTCATCCCCTTCTTCTTCACTCCCTCCATTGCTTGGTCCCTTTCCCTTTTGCAAAAGATCTATCTCCCTGTTCCCTATTGTCTATCTTTTACATTGCTCTTTGATTTACTTATATTTTAGTTCTCATATAGGATAAACCATGAAATATTTAAGCTTGCATGTCTGATTTATTTCACTTAATATTCTCCTATAAAAGATTCAAGCTTATCCTTCTTTATGGGAAATCAGTATTCCACTGTGTGTATAAATACCACATTTTTTATCCATTCATCTATTGGTGGACATATGGGTCACTTCCATGAGTTAGCTATTATGAGTTGTGCCGCTATAAACATGGATATGCATGCACCGCTGTAATATGATGACTTTAACTCTTTTGGAAAGATACCTAGAAGGAGAACAGCTGCGTCAAATGGCATTTCTAGTTTTAGTTTTTTGATTTTTGACTCTACCAAGCATTCCAAACCCAATTCCATCTGCTGCTACCTGTCAGGTCCAAGCCACCATCATCTCTTACCTGGGCTACTTCTTCTATGCTTCTATCGTTGTCCCTACAGAGTTCTACTCTATACATAGTCATAATGATATATTTTTTAAAAAACCTTAGTGGCTGGAGGCATAGCTTATTGGTAGAGCACTTGCCTAGCAAGACTAAGGCCCTGAGGTCCATCCCCAGCTTCACCAAAATTTTTCTAAATAAATAAACCTGAAGTTAGACCATATCACTCCTCTGTTCAAAAAACCTCCAGTGGCTTCCCATCATGCTTTGAAGGAAATTCAAATTGCTTACTCTCAAAATACGGTTGGTCCCTGCTTTACCTCTTTCAACTCATTTCACCCCTTCTCACCTCCTGATTTTGTTCTCTCTGCCCCAGCCTCACTGGCCTTTTTACTGCCCCAGGAATGCATCAGGTACATCCCTCAGGGCCTTCCTACTTTTGGTTCCATCTGCCTGAAGTGTTCTCCCCAAGATTGATTATTTGTTTGTTTGTTTGTTTGTTTATTTGCAGTACTGGGGATCAAACTCAGGACCTTGCTCTTGCCAGGCAGGCGCAGTGCCACTGAGCTACATCCCCAGACCTCTCCCCAAGATTATTTACATTGGCTCCTTCTCATGGCTTCATATTTGACTTGAATGTCAATGAGATTCCTCAGAGAATCTTTCCCTAAACACTCTGAAATAGCACAGCTCGCACCTCTGCCACTCAGTAGCATATCACCCCATTTTATTCTCACTGTAACACAAACTATCAAATGCATAACATCATATGTGTTTGTTAATCTGCTTTGTCTGCCAATCTCCTCCCCTCCCCGGTCTATAAATTCCAGGAGGACAGGGACTGCATCCATCTTCTATACCAGTACATAAATATTTTGCCATAGCCTACAACATACATAGTAGAAACAAGGCTAAATCTTACCTAAAGCAGAAACTTTGCTTAACAACTACATTTTAAGGCATTGCTTCTGATATTTAAAAATACTAATACTAGCACCTAAGACCAATAGGGAAATGATAATACAGACAGGCCTGTTCTTTTGGGCTCCTGGAGCTATTAACATTAATTAGTAAATACTGAGATGAGTTCAAGTGTACCTACCAAGTATCTGCTCTGTTAGACACTTTGGGGGCCACAGTGATGAATCACCCTCAAAAAACTGAGTCTAGAAAGAGAAGAAATTAACACAATTAACTGGTATCTGAGGGAGAAAACGGTGAATATCATCAGAGATACAGGATACTTTGAACCACAGATAAACAAACATGGCCTTTACATTCTTCCACATGAAATAAATGTTAGAATTCCTGGGAATATGCTTTGTGCATTTTAAATGTGCAAGTATTGCTCCCTTCAAGAGCACTGAGACATATATAGGAACAGTTGTAGTTGTCACAATAAGTGGCATAAGGAGGGTACCACTGCCATCTGGTAAGCAGTGGCCAGATATGCTAAATGCCCATCAGTTCCTGGACAGACTTGTACGGTGGAGAACTCCCTGCCCAAATGCCAACACACAAGTGGTTTGTACTTGTCCAACTAGCACATATGGAGTTCTTTCAGGGCTTCCAAAGTAATATTTTTAGCATGCTATTTTTTAGGTAGTTACTTCCAAGTCACTTCCTCGATTCATTTTATCATTTTTAACTAGATCCTGAACTCATAAAGTATCCAGTAGAAAGAAAGCTTGAGCACAAGCACAGGATGAAGGAGAACAGCAAGCCCTGCCACAATGTCCTCTGGGGCCCCAGGACAGCGGGCTTTCAGTGTGAGGCCAGAAGGGGCTGGGACATGCTCAGTCCCTAGCAGTCAGCTCTCCCACAATGATGGCAAAGCATCTCTCTGTGTTATGGTTACTCTTATTTCACAGAGACAGCTCTACTTTGAGCCTGGCAATTATGTAATTGCATAGTAAGGCAAGAAGATTATTTTGAATTAGAATCTTCCTGCACAAGGGCTTGTTTCCCTCAAGCAGGAGTCTAGAGCCCACAGAGCCAGTTAGGTCCTGGGAATGTGGAACTGGGGACTGGGCAGGGCAGGCAGAGCCCTCGACCCCCAGCTAAAGAAGTCTATTCCACAGGAGAACATAGCTAGGCCTTCTAGTACTTCAAAATAAGCTGGAAATCATGGTTTTTGAGATCTTGTTTTTTCAATGCCAACCCCTAATTCAATTTGCTTTTTCAAATAGTATGCAGGCTAAAGATACCAATCTATGGCCAAATTTGACCCAGAGCTTCTAGCTTGCTCTTTCTACACATTGGACCCAGGACTCTGCTCATCTGTGCGCATATGGTCTGGTGTCAAGAAAACTTCAGGAAATTCAAAATCAAAAGTTAAATATACTGACAGCTGGGCAAAGTCCTCAAGAAAGGAGAAGAAAGACACAGGCTCAGGGACCCAGGAAGGTCACACCAGATGAGCCATACTACTGTCATATTCTCTGCTCAAAACTTCACAAGATCCCTTATTTTTTTTCTTTTATTTTCTTTTTTCATCATAGTAATAGAACCTAGGGCCTCATGCATGCTAGGCAAGCATTCTGCCACTGAGATACACCCCTGACCCAAACATCCCCTATTTCTCATTGCATCAAATCACAAGTCCTCTTTAGGGCTCTCCAAATACACTCCTCATCCATGGCTCCAGCCCTGTGTCTCATCACGCCCCATATATCTCTCATTCTAGTTGGGCCAGATCTTCTTGAATTCCTCTGAAGAAATGGATCCCTTCAGCGGACTATTCCCTCCCCACTCTTCAAAGCCTTGCTCACATCTCACCTCTTTATATGAAACTTTCCTGTGACGGTAAAAAGCAAAATGCTTTTAAGCTCAAGGTCCGATGTCAAGCAAGTCTCAATTTAAATTCCACATCTGCCATTGACCAGGCAGGGCAAGGTCGTTGGGTTTGTTACTTAACTTCTTTGAGCTTTAGAAGTTGATAACTGTGAGTATCCTTTCTCCCAAAAGTTTTGAGATCAGAAGTATTTCAGATCTTGGACTTATGGAATATTTGTACAGCACATACAAAGACATCTTGGGGATGGGACCCAAGTCTAAAGATAAAGTCAATTCTTGTTTCAGAAACACACCTTACTGATTAGCCTAGGATTGTATACAATATTTTTATGCACCTGTTTTTGTTGTTGCTGCTGTTGTTATTTTGTTTTGTTTTGTTTTGTTTTGGTACTGGGGATGGAACTCAGGACCTTGTGCTTGCAAGGCAGGTGCAGTGCCACTAAGCTAAATCTCCAGCCTATTGAGTCACCTGTTAAGACCGTACCCTGTCACATGGGGGCATGTGTGGAATTTTCTATGGGTGGTGTCATATCAGTGCTCAAAAAGTTTTAAATTGTGGATTGCAGAGCTCTGGATTAGGAATGACTATCTCTAATAGTGCCTACATTATAGGATTTTTTTTCCTCTTCTTTATTTTTCTTACATGATTTTTTGGTTGTTGTTGTTTCAGAGATTGAACTCGGGACCTTGCTCTTACATGATTTTTGATACATTACATGAAATAATAGTAAAGTATTAAGTCCCATAAGGACTCAGTTAACGTGAGTCATTATTACTACAGCTACTAAATTTTCATTTTCTTTTTTGGTTTTTGTACGGGGAATCAAACGCAGGACCTTAGGCTTGTGAGGCAGGCAGTGGAACCACTGAGCTAAATCCCTGGCCCTGAATGTTCTTTTCTTCTGTAAGTGCTACAACTTTTATGCTGCCTCTTCTGACCAAAGCTTTGCTGGATCCCACGCAGCCCATGTTTGTTCTGTGCTCCAGGCATCATACCTGCTTCAGCCCACACCTTGGCTGTGAAGCTTCTTAAAGTGCCAGGAGTATGTTAGATACGTTATAGAATCCATAGTCTCAAGTGGACAATGAGTCAGAGTTGCACAACTAACACCATCTCTCAGACAAGTTAACCTAAATCTCTCTCTAGCAAAAGCAGGGGTGCATGCTGGAAAGATAAACATATAGTTAGTCTCAGTGGCAGAGAGCTGCTGCAATGTTTGCAATAATTCCCCATCACAAATGCACACCACCATGTTGTATCCTACCTGTTCCTCACTTGCACCTTCCTAGATCCCAAGCCTCACTTTTCCTTCTGGTGCTGGAGAGGACACACAAAGCCAGATAAAGCCACTCTCTTTTCTTCAGTGTGTGATGGGGAACCTAGACAAACAGCCAAACCAAAAGGATGATCTCTCACTAGGACTAAAGAAAAAGCCTGTGGTCCACTACAGAAGCCAAGAGGGCCTCCCCACTAATGCTACTCCACCTCAATCCAGGCCCATCCATCCTCTGATGTATGTGGTAACTGGGATCCCCTGGGCACCAGTGCCTACAGGCTTATTCCACTTTTCACTTTTCTCTGTGCTTAACAACAACTGAAGGAAAAATACTTTCATGAAAGTTACTCTATGCTTCAAGTTACTCTATGCTTTGAGAGGACCCTCCCAAAAGGAGCATAGAAAATGTGACTGTTGCAATGCTACATTCTTTAAAAGAAAGAATTTAAGAGACCCCAACTATATTATGCCAAAGAAAGGTTTTCTGAGAATGAAAACTGAGCCCTTCCAATTGTACTGCCTAAGTTTCAATAACATGCAGCTAGATCAGTGGCAAGAAGAACCTATTGCAAAATAGGCATGATCTCTAAGAACGATAAGGCTAAAAGGGTCGTCTGTGTCCCATACTGGAAACCAGTGTACCACTACAAGTCACTCCGGAGTTAGCGGCATTCAAAAGTCCTCCAGTAATGATAACAAAGCCCAGGTGAGCAAATGAAAAGAAGACGCGGGTCCCAAGGACCAAAGCTCTGGTTCCAAGTTCAGGGATAGCAGTTTCCCCTACAGTACAGGTTTCCCCATCTTGCTTTCTTCCCTCAGCCCTCTGCAGACTAACCCAAGATCTGGACTGCACACTCAGAAATTGTGGATGAACTTACTCTCTCAGTCAAATTGGAATCAAGTCGTATTCCACCAGCACTGGAAACCTCAAGACTTGAAAAGTCCCAAAGACAAGGACCAGGTCAACAGGAAGGTATGGGTGGGTGTAGGGGTGGGTGTGCGGCGTGGAATCCTGCTAATGATTAATTGGGTAAGTGCTGCAGGAAGGGGGCGGTTTCAGAGCCAGAACCATTGGCTTGCTGACTGGATGATAAAGGGCATCTTCATCTCTCATTAGCGGGATGTCACTGCCAACCTATACCCTAGGGGAATGCCTCGAGGGACCTCCACGGGAGCAGTGGCCAGAGCCCTCGAGTAGGTGTCTAGAGCAGCTTCAGGGCCGGTGGAAGCACCACAGGGTCTAGGGTGAAGCTAGAGGACCCCAGGAAGAGCCTAGACACATCAGTGGAAAACCCAAGCCCGTTGAGGTAGGCAGGGGAGACCCAGATCCCCTGCGCAGCCCGTCCCCAATCCCCACAGAGGGTCCTGCGTGGCCCTGTCTGCGAGGCACTCACAGCTCCGCTAGGCCAGGGCGGCCAGCCCACCAAGATGCAGCGGGCTGTGGCTGCCTTCCTTACGAGCAGAGCGAAGGACATTTACCGGGAGCCTCAGGAGCCGTTGCGTCTCCACTCTGGGCTCCTCTGGGATAGCGAGACTGCCACCACCATCGCCACTGACGCCGCTGCCTCCCTCCAGCCGCTGCTGTAGCTCCCGC